ATTTCTTTTTGTTTTACGTAGTAAAGCATCGATAAGTTTATTTGTTAATATATTATATGCCGTTTATCTAAAAATAAAACACAAAAATAATATGATTTTTCTCCGCAAATGCAATTAAGTATTTAATAAAATTACTAATGAGAAAAATGTGAATAAAGAAAAAAATATAACATTAAATAGTTAATATAAAGAAAAAAGAAATGATATTTTTATGCAATTTATAATTATTTTATTTTGTGTAATTATTTTAACAATTTAAAATTGTTTTCATGTTTTGTATTATTCTTAGCATAATTATTATTAAACTATTAAAAAAAAACATAAGCAAATAACTAAATTCTTTATTTTTGTACTGAATTTCAAATATATTGATACAAAATAGTTGCTCAGCTGAAATATTTTTTATAGCTCATTATTCTTACAAAGTTTTAATTAGTAGTTATTAAATATTTCATTTATAATTTTATCTAAGCTAAAAGTTTGAAGTTCCACATGAAAAAAAGAGAAAGCGAAGACTATATAATTATAACGAAAACGTAGCCAATTATTTTTATTAAAAAAATTCCATAACTAATGTCTTTATGAAGCTTGGGATTCTTTTCCTTTCTGGATGTACAATAGCTGCTAGAGCCAAATTAAATGCATTTAATTTTGCTTCAGCAGCTATTCTTTAGTAGTTTTTATCAGTAGTTAATGAACGTATAAATTATATCCATTATGCTTCAAATTATTTAATTTTAGCTAAAGATTTTTTCGATGAAATAATTTCGGACAAAAGACTTATAGTTGTTATAATCATGGTATATATATATAACAATTATTACAAAAACGCAACCAACTATGCTTATTATAGAAAAATAGATTGCTAATGTGTTTCCTCAAGTGGAAGTTTCTTACTATTAAATTTGTTATTCATTGATACAAAATATTTCCGACCGCTCAATTAATTTTTTTTTATATATTCTTCATTTTATGCAAGACTAGCCTTTTAATTTATTATTTAGTTTTGAAGAGCAAGTTTTTATACAACTGTTTCAACATCCATCAGTTATTTTTTGTTCTTATAAAAAATTATTTGTCTTTTTTACTCTACACATTTGCTTAACTCCTAATGATATCTCAAAGTTTTTAGTATTTCGAACAATTAGGACTTGTTTAAAAAATCCTCATTAAGATCATTTCTCATTCTAAATGGTAATTTAATTGCCCAAAGCAAACATTTTTTTTTAACTTCAAGGCATCGTTAAATTAAGTTATCTTCAGAATGGTTTAGTGCCACATAGTTTTAGCCAGCAATGTTAACAGAAATTTGAGATTTAAATTTTCTTGTTCACAATGTTTTTTTCAATATCTTTCTTTACACTGATACGATGAATAAATATTATTAGTTCTTGATATTCTTTCCTAAAAACTTTTTAAAAAATATAAATGAATAAGAAACGGGTAAATCAGTTTGGTGTTAACAATTAAGCTGTAGCTTTAGTTAAAAACATTTGTTTCGTTTGGATAATTAAGTTGCAAGCATGTTATAAGATTAAACTTACTTCTCCTGCTTCTAATAACTGTATTTCATTTTCGTTTTTTTCTTCTCTCTTTTTATCGAAAACAGTTCAATTAAAGAATAATTATTTTTTATTAAATCATTTCTACTGATTTCATCTTCTATTTATTGTTTTATTGCGCAAACGCAATTAACACAAATTTGGGGTTTCTATGTGTTTCAAAAAAGTTGGGTGATCTATCATTTTTTGTACACTACTGATGTGAAGCTTGTATGACAAATAAAAAACAAGAATTCTTGAAATTTGTGGATAATAATTCAGGGACATTTCATTGCTTTATTCTTTTGCTTCATAGCAGAAGCGATAGCTGGTCATTATAATATAAGTGACTGCGCGTTGCTCATCAGATTCTCAAATAAAACTAAAATGCGATTTCTCTTTAATTCTAAGTATGGAAAATAATTATTCCTTCGTGAAACAGCACTTGATTTCATGGATCATTCTTAAAGTCATTTATATTAAAAATTCGAATGGAAAATCTTCTTATCACAAAATGTTTTCAAATCAAATCTAAATAATTAATATCACTTCATAGGCAAAACAGCTTGAATTTCGTTTATTTTGTTATCTCATCAAAAATGTTGTCTTGAGGAAATATAATTTTAGACTATGTCAACCTTCGTCTATCTAAAGGAACCTCAAGATAAAATCGAGTTAACATGTCTTATATACTAGTGATTTGGTAAATAATATTTGTAGTCGTAGTTACACCACATTACTCCCCTTCCAGAATTATATCTGTGATTCAATGTGATTTATCTGTGAATTCAATGAACGATTACCACTAGTTGATTCATGCTGTTTATTTATTTATATAATTTTTTGCTCATTATATTTGTTCTTAATTTTTTTGTTTATAGCAATTCGCTCATTTTTTGCTTATATTTAATAATTGTAGTGGTAGTTACACCACAGTCTAATTTTTCTCTTCTTCTCAAACTACATTTGACTCCTATTTAAAAATAAAATTTAGAAATATCTAGAAAACAAATATTTAACAATTTCGTAATGAATGTTACGTTTTATTTATATTTATGTTTTATTTACATCTAGCTAGTTCTGGAAAGGGTTCTAGAATGGACTATAAGAAGATATCAAAATCAATAATTTATCTTGAAGCTTTACATAGCAAAACAAATAAAAAATTCACAGAAGTGTTCAAATTAAAATTGATATAAAAATGAAAATAAAAGTTTGAAAGTAAATATTTTTTTTGCATAAAAAAGCGCCGGTTTGTATGTATGTTTGCTAGTAATTCTGGAAAGGGAGCACCGATTTGGATCGGGAGTTTTCTACAATTTTCAAATTTTTATATGGAGATTTGTAGGCAATCATCATTTTCCGGTGTCATTTAATTACAGAACAATATCGAAAACACGAAATTGCATTGTTGAAAACCATTATTACTGATAAAACCTCCCTAATATTTTCTGATTGGCTTCACTGGCATGGCGTTTCGGTTACAGAATTAGAGCAATTTTTGAATCTCTTTTCGATATTTTCCATCCTCTGTGTTGATTTACTCACATGAAGTACTAAAAAATGTGTTGCTGTCATTGTATGTATTGTCAAATGTATATATTGCATTTGTCATTGCTTCAAAATTTCCTTGTAATCGAAATAGCATCGTTACAAAATGTTTTAAAAAATAAATGCAGATAAATCTCGAGAAAAAGTGAAATACCTAATAAAGCTCGTTAGGCTCATAGTTTGAATTTAAATGCTGATGTAAAAACGCCTGTTAAAAACAAAAAAGCAGGCTAACACAAGTTATCAAAAATTAAAGAAATAATACAATTAACCATCAAAAGTAATTTTAGTAGCAAGTTTATTCTTATTTATTTATCCAAACAGAATTTCATTTCTAAGACGGTTGAAAATATTAAACTCTAAAAATAAAACTATTTGTTGCCAAATATTAATAATCATTATTAATGATATCTTTATCAATACACGAATTTTTAATTTTTTAATTCCATATCTTCATATTATTATCCTTTAAATGTAAATATCATAATAATAGCAATAATCAATAATCTAAATTTTTAATAAAAAGAGGTCGAGGCTCTAAAACTAGTTAGATACATTAAACATAATTAAATATTAAGACCTAAATCAGTTTAGTCCTAAATCCAGCGCCTAAATGATAGGAAGAAAAATTTAAGCAGCAAAAATATTTCGTCTTGACTTAAAAAGTTACATAAAACTCATTGGAAATCAAAGGTTTTATTTAATTACCTATCAAACGTGTCATATAAATTAAAAAACTGACTTTAACTTTTTACCGTGAATACTCATTTAAATGGTTGTGCTTCCTTTTAGTTCTTGATCAATGCCATTAAGTTAAATGTTTTATTTATTTATTTATTTGTTATAAAATGTAATGTTTACATTTATAGATTTGCATATTCATTCAACTTAAATAAATTTATATCAGTTAAAGTTCGTTTTATTTAAGCGAAATAACACTTAGCACCCTGACAAAATTAGTTACAACTTATTGTCTCGCATAATTAATAAGAGCAATAGGTACACAGTTTGATTTTAACAAAGTTACTAATTTGTTTTATTATTCGTTAAAAGTGACATTAAGATACTTAGCATGTTAGTATTTTCTTAAATGTTAACATATGTTGTACTAAACATTTTATTAAAAAAATCAACATGGAACCCATGATACCTTATGAACATGAAAATACGAATGAGAACTCCACGAGTGTGAACATTAAATCTTCTCTACCGTGCGCAATATGAGCATGTACTTACATATTATCTTAGTTTTTTTACTGAACGATTTCGAATTGCAAAATACTTGAAATTCTACTTATTTAAAAATGCAAACCAGCTTGTAGCTGAAGGGGGCTAATATAAAATAAATAAAGGAGATAACAGGGAAAATCTGAGAATATCTAAAATAATTTAACACAAAGTTAATTTACACCAGACGCAGTATTTTCGACAAGAAGTTATAATAGTGATACATCATATTTATCAGTGAATGTTATTAAATTTAATTGTATATTAAAATTGATTTTGAGGGTAAAATTATAAAAGATTCATATGATTTAAGCTATAATTTAATTCGGAAAAGCATAAAAGAATAAAATTAATTGAATAGTTGATATTAAAAAACTCAAAAAAAAATTATTTTCAAAAATTCACAAAATTTTGGCGAAAAATTGAAAAATTGTATTCCCATAAAAAAGTTAATTCACTTTCTGATCTTTTTTTGTTATCAAAATTCTTTATCAGAGCATTTTTGTTTTTTTTTGCAGAACGTTGTGACAAAAATATAATTTGAACCTAGTCAAAACCCCATACTCTTAAAACCAGACACCATATTCTCCAGAAAGTTGAGCTAAAAGCACAATTTAAAATTTCAGTGTATGTAGAGACCCGTCTCCCAGAAAGTGCCGTTGTCAAAAATTTTTCCTCCGACACTCTTTGGCTTGATAAAATCGAAAAAAATTGGTTGAATAGTTTTTGATTTTCAAAAGGTTTTTGTTAATGTTCTTGTATATAAATCTAGTACATAACATAGTAAAGCTTCAGTTCATTAATGATTTATTTTTGTTACAGGAACATCGTGCCTGAAACATAATTTAAAGCAACCATGTCCAAAAAAACCACGTCTTCCAAAAAGCGCCACTGTAACTTGATTTACTACCAAAGACGGAAGTCCCTAATCATCAAAATCGTTTTGTTCATAGCTGTCTCCTGGCTTGGCATTACCATGCTCATGAATTTCTCAGACAAAGTTCGCGTAGAGAAAGCAGAAGAAGAAGTCGTAGAGGCTGTCAACTATATCGAACAAAACCAAGTTATAGCAAATCCAACTGTTGGTGTTGAAAAGCACGAAGGTAGGAAACCCAGACAGTCTAAAGAAGAATATTTGCATATACCTATGAATGTACCGCATCACGCAGAAATGGAACAGGCTGTCTTGCCTCTACCAGACCATGATCAGCCTGGAGAGTATGGAAAGCCAGTAGTTTTAACTAATTTAACAAAAGAAGAACAAGATTTGATAGCAACTGGTTGGGAACATAATGCTTTTAATCAGTATGTTAGTGACTTAATTTCTTTACACCGGAAATTGCCAGATGTTAGACCAAGAGGGTAAGTGAAATTTAATTTTTATTTCCTTGTACCATATTCTCACCCTTTTATTTCTCAATATTTGAAATTTTTGACCATTGTTTGACTATCCAAATGATAACAAAATTTTGATGGCATGTCTGAGTATCATGCTCAGGGTTGTTTCCCAGACCATTGCTAATACTGTGCAGGTCAAGCGAGACTTGAATAAACAACTACAACTACTATAAATCTGTTGCATTTCCTATTCTCATCATGGTGACGCTTTCCATTTTAATTGTCCTAAAAGCAAAGATAATAATAATAATAATGATTTTACAAAAAAATTACAAAACCATTCCATTTATCAACAACAAAATTGGTCATTTTAAATTATCTTTACACTTAATGATGTTTTGATATATTTTCTTATTATTAATGGATCCAAAACATAAACTGAGTTGTAATGGATCCAAAACATAAACTTAAATGAAAATGGATTGTGATTCCCAAAATTGGGGTTTCCTCCTAAAATTGGCAATTTATAACTGCTTTTGTGCTTCATTCGTTACTAGCTCATTTTCTTCCTCAGCATATGGAAGCAACCCGGCAGTGCTATAGTGCTATATTTCCTTTCAACTGGTCCAAAAACTAGGTACCGACCATTTAGGACAAAATTTACATGAAAACCTTATAACGTTTCTACTACACATAACATGTCGGAGGCGCTAAACATGGATCTGAAGAAAAATCTCAAAAACAACAGATAACTATTGCTTAACTAGTGTTAAAACACGTTATTAAAACTCTTGTTTGCAAATGCTTTGATTTTGAAGCTCCTTGAAGAGATTGTGATTGAAATAAACAAAAGCCAAGCATTTAAGTTAATGAAGTGCTTAAAATACAACGTTGGGAAAAAAAGATAGCAACGAACACCTTTCATTTGTTTTTGATTTGCCATGTTTAACATAAAATTTGTGAGATAGAGCTTTGTGTTACACGGACAGGACAACACATGAATGACAACCATATCATTTTATGATAAAGATTATGTATACAAATAAATATATTACTTAAACAGAAAGGAAATAATTTTAAGTGACAAGGACATTTAGTTAACGGTCAAAAATGTAGGTTTAACTATAAATTAAGTATAGTTTAAAAACTATGGTAACATTGTTGGCATCGCAGTTTTTAAGCTATTAAAATAACAGATATTTAGCTGTTTAAACTGCTATTGTAAATGGATTCTTCCTCTTTATCTGTTTACTAAAGCTAACTAAACTAACTAAAATGTCACATCTCTTTCTGCCACTAAGCTTTTCGAATGCGTTTAGAATAATATTTATGTAGGATATTAAAGATGTCTCTCTTATCTCCGTTGTACTTTTATCTTTTTTAATGATAATCTAATATTGCTGTAGTGGATTTTTTACTCTGGTAAGCACTTCTGCAAATAAAAAAGAGAAAGAAAGAAGAAAGACAGAAAAAGAAAAAAAATGTTCTATCAACTTTTCTATTTATCTTCGTTCTTACATACTTTTCTATGGGTGAACTCTTCGAATTAAGGAAGTCCCAATGCTTTCCATCAGCAATTACAGAAACAGTTGGTTGATATCGTTAAAGGTGTGGGTCGTGAAATTCCCTTTTCTCTCTACAACCTTTTCTCTTGTGTAGTTTTGGCTAAAAAGAAGCTGCATTTGCGCCAAATTATATTTCCGTCCACGTTCTATCATCCGGCAATCCGGCGCCATTCCATTAACGAACTAAATGAAGTTTCCCAATGACATCACTCCCAAAATAAAAGAGAACAAATCGTGTGCAAGGTTTGGTACAGTAAATGCATTTTGGATGAAATTTGGGGTATTTCCTTCTTCTTTTACCAAGAATGCTCTTCATTTAAGACATTTGTCTCCTTAAATAGGGATACTTGTTCTTTAATGATCGAAATTCCCAAACATTTGGCATTTTTTCCCCCTCAGATACTACTTCGAAACCGATTACTAAGCTCGCGAAATGATGATCGCCAAATTGTACCGCAAGATTGTTAAGAGAAGCTTTACTAAATATTGGTGAGCAAGATTAGTTTGCAAAACAAAACTTGCATTTGTAATGTAGGTGGAGAAAATAAATGATGAAAAAACTACAAAAATGAATTACTTGTTCGTATAATGTATCCTTCATAAATCTCGCAAAAATGGTTTTGGGAGTGGTTTGAAGTGTTTTGGTATCATATGGCGTTTATCTGAAACGTAATTTCGATGTTTTGCATCATATGGAAGTAGTTAAAAACCCAAAATTATAAGATGTTATAATTGGAATAAAGTTAATTAACTATTTAATTTCTTTTAATAAAATAATTTCAGTTATCAGTATATATATATATATATATCCTAAATCCAGCGCCTAAATGATAGGAAGAAAAATTTAAGCAGCAAAAATATTTCGTCTTGACTTAAAAAGTTACATAAAACTCATTGGAAATCAAAGGTTTTATTTAATTACCTATCAAACGTGTCATATAAATTAAAAAACTGACTTTAACTTTTTACCGTGAATACTCATTTAAACGGTTGTGCTTCCTTTTAGTTCTTGATCAATGCCATTAAGTTAAATGTTTTATTTATTTATTTATTTGTTATAAAATGTAATGTTTACATTTATAGATTTGCAAATTTATTCAACTTAAATAAATTTATATCAGTTAAAGTTCGTTTTATTTAAGCGAAATAACACTTAGCACCCTGACAAAATTAGTTACAACTTATTGTCTCGCATAATTAATAAGAGCAATAGGTACACAGTTTGATTTTAACAAAGTTACTAATTTGTTTTATTATTCGTTAAAAGTGACATTAAGATACTTAGCATGTTAGTATTTTCTTAAATGNTTAAATTTATTTTTATTTATTATTATTTTTAATAAACTGTTGTTTGTTATTTTTTACTTATTATTTCCCCCCCTTTTTCATATGTCTTTTATTTTTCTTTGTTTTATTCTTCGTTGAACTTATATATATATATTATACATTAAAAACTTAAGTATTTAATCACAGCTGCAACTTAATGTCAACTTGAAGTATTTAATTTCGAAAAAAAAAATAATTATTTTCTTGCTATGGCCTGATCAACAATTTGAAAGAAGTGCAAATCGATGTAGTTTTTAGTTTTTAAACAAATATTATATTCATAACCATCCATTATTACACTAAAACTAAACCTCAAAAATCAACAGTCAAGAATGAAAATAAATTTTTCTTAATATTTTAATTTCTTTAAAATACTTATTTTTAAAGTAATATCTTGTATTTTAAATATTGTTTTGATTAGTGTATGTATCTTTTATTAATTAAAGAACATAATATAATATATTCCATTAAAAGAGAAGAAAAAGTGAAATTTGATTGAAATTTTATTCATTGTTGTATTTTAAAATAAACTAAAATTCTGGTAAACAAACGACACTAAACAAAATTGGTACATAACAGTATTTTAACTTTATTAATTGATACATGTGTTTATACTATTTATAATAACTATTGATATATTTAAATTGTTATCAATTTCGCTTAAATATCTTAATTAAACCTTGTTTGGAGAGTGTCCTGAACAAAGATAACTAAAAAGTAAAAAAAAAAATCCATGCACATTATTTAATAAAGTGCTTTGTTGCACAATTGCAGTTGAAATAATTTTCTAATATGTATCGAACTTACACTTGTATGTTTGCCACTTTTTTCCAGTAATTTCTTAAAAAAATAAATATTATAAGTTTCATGCGCAATTATTAACAAAACTTTCTTATTTTACTTTTCTTAAAGGCTTTATTTTCTTATTTATCTTAATTTATAAGTGCAAAATTTACTTTGAGATTTGCTTTATTCTTTTTTTTTATGTCAGATTCTTATTAGAACTGAAAACTATTCTGAAAGTTAAAAATAATTGTTCCTTGATAAAATGATAAAAGCAAGGAACTAAAAATAAAATGATGATAACCATCGCATTCGTGCTTGTTTCGAGATTCGGAATTTTTCTCCTGGTATTAATGAAGTTAATTTTGGTTCTAATTAACGCATTTCTCCAGAAATGAACAGATTCAGCTTATATATACATATATATTTTTACATATATATATATATATATTTTTAAAAATTCTTCTTGATTTCGAACAGAAGATTTCCAATTAAATTAACGAGTTGGAGGTTTTGATAGATTTATTTGTTTTTGTCTATGGAATTAATCAACAAGACAATATCATAGTTAATATTATGTTCATTTGTTTGATTCTCATTGTTTTAATTTTTTTTAGTTTGACTTTCATTAAAGTTAGAAATCGGAATAAACTGAATAAAAATGTATAAATTGTAATATGGTCTTACTTATAATTAGTTAAATGAATAGTTTATGTTGAAAGAAAGAAGTTTACTAAAAAAATATAATAATAAGAACTTTAGATTAAACTTCATATTAGGCAAATCTTAAAATAATTTATTAGAACTGGGAATAAATTTATTTTTAAGTTGAACTAAAAATTTTGCTTGGTTTTTCAAAGCGAAAAAATTAAACTTAAGATGGGGCAAAAACTGCAAAAGTAGGAATTAAATACGAATCTGCAATATCACCTTTATAAGTGTAGCCCTATATTTTTTAAACGAAACAAATATCCATGATTCTACTTTTAATTAGAAATATTTTTCATTTTTTTTCGTTTTTTTTTCTTTCTTTTTTTTTAATTTTTAAATTGTTTCTCGTCAATTAATACTTTTAGATTCCGATTAGTTCTGTCGTGATTTTTGTAACCTTTAGCAAATAAAGTATTCGAATGATTTATGCAAATTTAAATCATCTTTATTATATTTACTATATATTTCACAAAATGCATTTAATGGTACCGTTGTTGTAAACTTCTATCTTACTAGTAGTTTGATACGTTATCATAATAAAGATTTTAATTTGCACCGATAGATGGCAGTACAGCAGCTTTCATTAATAATGATTTTCAATCTGTTGATGTCAAAGATTTATGTATTATTCCGAACTAA